TCACTTGTACATATATATGTGTATATATATACACATACATACATACATGCATATATACAATGATGCAAATTTCAATTCCATTCAATTCCATGAACATTTCTTTGGTTGATGGTGTTAGATTTCTAAAGTCAAGAAAGAGTTGGAGAGAGTAATCCATGCTCTAGCTTATTAGGGTGTTGTGTGGAGCAAATAATATGGCACATATGAAAATGTTTTGGAAACTCTAAAGTGCAATGCAAATGTGAGGGGTTGCTTTTAATAGAAACAGAGGGGCCGGTTTGTGCTGTACTGGGTTAAGGCTCTGCATGCAATACAGGCATCCCATGTGGGCACCAGTTCAAGACCTGGCTGCTACTCTTCCAATCCAGCACTTTGTTAACAGCCTAGGAAGGCAGTGAAAGATGGCCCAAGTGTTTGGGCCCCTGCACCAACGTGGGAGAGCTGGAAGAAGCTCCTGGCTTCAGAACTGCCCAGCTCCCACCATTGAGGCCATTTTAGGAGTGACCCAGCAGATGGAAGACCTTTCTCTCTGTCTCTGCCTCTCTCAATCTGTAACTCTGCCTTTGGTGTGGAGCAGACATCATGGACTCTGCCATATTTCACCTGGCATCTTTGCTTTGCAGTTTCATGTCACTGGTATACTCTACTCTTGGCCCTCTCCTAGCCCACCGTGGCCAAGGCCTGCTCCATGCCCTGGCCATCATCAAGCCCAGTGCTTCTGGCAGTGATGTTACTGACATTTGGGGCTGGATAATTCTTTGTTGTGGGGGCAGTCCTCTGCTCTGGGCAGCATCCCTGGCCTCTACCTGCTAGAAGTCAATAGCATTCTCCCCAGTTCCCCATTGTGACAACCAAAACATGTTTCCAGCTCTTGTCAGATGTTCCCTGTAGGGGAGCAAAAATCATCTCCTGTTGAGACCCACTGATCTAGCTCCTTGCTACTCAAAGTGCACCTGGACCAGTAATGTCTCAATCATCTACAAGCTAGTGAGAAATACAGACTCTCAGTCTGCCAGGTCAGCACTTGTGTGCTAACAGGGTGCCCAGGTGACTATCGGCCCTGGGGCTCAGGGGTTCCCCGCAGCTTCAGAGTTGCTCCCCACAGCAGCGGTTGTCACATTTCACAGTGTGCCGCAGAAGGCCCTGGGGTGTTTGTTCAATATTCAGATGCCTCCCCTCCAGTTTGGTTTCCAGAGGACTGAGGAGGGCTTGGGAATCTGTGGTTTTGAACAAAGGTCCAAGACTTAGAAAAACTCTGTCAGGGCCAGCGCTGTGGCGTAGTGGGTAAAGCCGCCACCAAAAGTGCTAGCATCCCATATGGGTGCCAGTTCGAGTCCCGGCTGCTCCGCATCCCATCTGCTATGGCCTGGGAAAGCAGTAGAAGATGGTCCAAGTGCTTGGGCCCCTGCACCAGCATGGGACACCCGGAAGAAGCTCCTGGCTCCTGGCTTCGGATCGGCGCAGCTCTGGCTATTGTGGTCAATTGGGTAGTGAACCAGTGGATGGAAGACCTCTCTCTCTCTCTCTCTCTCTGTGTGTGTGTGTGTGTGTGTGTGACTCTTTTGAATAAATAAAATAAATCTTTAAAAAAACAAAAAAGAAGAACTCTGTCACAGTTCCTGCACTGATTTTTTATTTAAAATTAATTAATTAATTTGAAAGGCAGAGTCACAAAGAGAGAGAGAGGCAGAGGTACAGAGAGAGGTCCTCCATCCACTGGTTCACTCCCCAAATGGCCACAAGCCGCAACAGGTGGAGCTGTGCCAATCTGAAGCCAGGAGCTTCTTCTGGGTCTCCCATATGGATACAGGGACCCAAGGACTTGGGCCATCTTCTACTGCTTTCCCAGTCCATAGCAGAGAGCTGGATTGGAAGTGGAGCAGTTGGGATTCAAATTGGTGCCCATATGGGATGCCGGCACTGGAGGCGGCGGCTTTACCCGCTATGCCACAGCGCTGGCCCCACCTGCACTGATTTTAAGCACTTTCACTAAACTACAAATAACTGCTGCCAACAAGGACTGTGGCAACGCAGTGCCACACTGGCTGTCATCAAAGCAACGGTGGTGGTGGCAGTGGTGAGGGGCTTGTGGTGCAAATCAATTCCCCAAGGAACAAAAAGCATTAGCTGGGACACTGGTAGCCCTTAGGCATCTCAAATGAAACATGCTCTAATTTTTGACATGTAGTTCTTGATTTTTTTTTAAATCTCAAATCTGCCCTCAGACTCAAGTCTTGCCTGTTGGAGTAAGTGCCAGGAAACCCCTACATGTCAGCCTTCATCCCTGTCTTTCCCTGTATCTCCACAGCCAGTCTGTCAGCCAGCCACGTCAAATGTAGCTCCATGGGTGCACCTTGTAGACAGGCCTCGATCATCTCTTACCTGGATGACAGGTTCCGATCTGGCCTCACCACCTCTGCTCTTGCTCTTTCCAATCCACTGCCCACAGGGGAGTGAGAGAAGTCTCAAATTGCAATCAGATCACATTACTTACTCCCTTGCTCCAAACCCTTCAATGTATTTAGACTAAAACCTGAACTTTGCACCGCAGACTTCAAGCCCCTACATCTCTCTCTCTCTCTCTCTCTCTCTCTCTCTCTCTCCAACCTCATTTTCTTATCCACCCCCTTAAGCTCCTCATGCTCCAGAGGATTTCATTCTTTTCCCTGAACATGCCCTACTTCTTCCCACCTCAGGGCCTTGGCAATGCTGTTCTCTTGGCCTGGAATGCTCCCCAGCCCCCCTCCCCACTTGGCATGGCTGGATCTTTCTTATCTTTCCAGACTCAGTTTAAATAGCTGCTCTTCAGAGAGGTCCTCCCTGACCACTCCTGCCACCCTCATTATCCCCTTTCCCTTAATTGTTTCTTTGCCACAAATGTTACTTGGCCTGCATCTTTGTTTTCTGTCAATCCCACTAAAATGTGAGTTGCACATTTGCAGACATTGGTTTGTCGTAACTGTGCACTCAGCACAACATACATGAAAAGCTCTGTTGACTGAAAGAACAGAACAAGCAAATGTGGCCATGTCTCACTCTCACAGGAATTCCAGTTTCATGGGCAGAAGAGATCTAACTAGCAAATAGGGTATACGATTTGTACTACAGGAGAGGTCAAATCATGGGCCAGGGGAGCAAAGCGAGTAAGGGAGCTGAGAGAAATTTCAGTGAGGGGATAATAATTGATCTTGGGCTCAAAGTAGGACTCTAGATGGTATGGGTAGACATGAGGCAAAAGGGCATTTGAGGTTGAGGCAGTGGTCTAACCAAAGGCATGGAGGTAAGCAAATGCATGGTGTGCTAAGACAACAGAAACATTTTCTCTGAATGTAATGGAAAGGGTCCCGATCTCCCGGCTGCGGGTCATTTGTTTCCGAGTTGCCACTGCTATGAACAATGCTCTAGTGGATGTCATTGTGCACACACCTCTCTCACATTTGTGTCCAGTCTTTTTATATAAATTCCTAGGCATGAAATTACTGGGATAAAAGGTATGTGCAAAGGAATGAGAAGGGAGTAAACTGAGTGTAAAACAGAACAGGTGACAGTTAAGAGAGAGGGTAAGAGAGAGCTGGAGGGGCAGAAGATGGTGGTAAAAGCGGGCATTAAGGGCTAAGAGACAGTGTCAGTGGAGTAAGAGGGTAAAACAGAGCAGGTGTAGGGCAGACTCTGGCACAGCAGTTAGTTCCCTGCCTGGGATACATACATCCCTTATTAGAGTCCCTGGGCTCTAGTTCAAGTCCTAGGTCCACTTAAGGTCCAACTTCTTGCTAATACACACCCCTGTGAGTCAGCAGGTGATGGTCCAAGTATTTGGGTTTTTGCCACCCATGTGGGAGATCTCGACTGAATTCCTGGCTGTGAGCTTCAGCCTGCTCTAACCCAGGCTGTTGTGGGCATTTGGGGAGTGAATCAGTGAATGAAAGATCTGTCTGCCTCTGTGTTTCTGCCTTTCAAAGAAATAAATAAACAAATCAGAATTTTAAAAAAGAAAGGTAAGAACAAGCAGGGGGTGGATAAGAAAGAATAGGGTGGATGATAAAGTTGGGAGTATAAGAATGCAAGGTTGGGGCTGGCGTTGTGGCATAGCAGGTTAAGCTATTGCTTGTGATGCCGGCATCCCATGTGAATGCTGGTTCGTGTCTCGGCTGCTCTACTTGTGAAGACAGCAGAAGATGGCCCAAATACTTGGGCCCCTCCCACCCATGTGGGAGACCTGGATGGATTTCCTAGTCCCTGGCTTCAGGCTGACCTAGTCCTGGCGATTGTGACCATTTGGAGCATGAACCAGTGGAAGATCTCTCTCTCTCTCTCTCTCTCTCTCTCTTTCTCTCTCTGACTTATAAACAAATAAATAAATCTTCTTTTAAAAAAGAATGCACAGTAAAGAAGGAGGGATAAGAGCAGAAGAAAGGAAACAGAATGAAAATAAGGCAAGAAAGAAAATAA